CCCCAAAACCCCAAAACCCCAAAACCCCAAAACCCCAAAACCCCGTTCAAAACAAATCCTATTGAATTCTAAATAGCTACAAATCATCTGTTTTGGTGTCAGTTGAGGTCTGATTCATCTTATTTTCTTCTAAGAGTCTAAGTCTTTCCTCTTCCTGATCATACCAGTCCTTGTAAATGAATCTAATTGTGCTATATCTCTTGTTATGGGAGGTGTTCAACGAGTTGAAGTTCATTGGAACCAACTCCATAGACATGTGAGCATCATGAAGATTATAGTAGAAATATTTTCCCAGAATGTTCTCAGAAGCTCCAGTTTCAATACAGAATTGGTTATCTTCATCTTTTCCGAAGTCTACTACCATTCTGTAAATTGGAGTATGAGATGATTGAAGTCCTTTCTCAGCAAAGTCTTCGTAGTAGATAGATCCAACATTTATGGTGTGCTTTGATCCGCTATCAGAGTCACTTCTATCGAAGAAATATCTCAGGAATGAATTGGTAAATGGAGCGTAATTATACTGAACAGTATGCCATTTTCCAAACAGAGCATCCTGATCCTCAAATCTAGTTCCTGCTGGGACAAGGTACTCATAAATAAAGTTTAATCCTCCTACAACTACCTTAACACAAGCATTCTTGACATCCTTTGTTCCAGATTGACAGTACTTGGAGAAATGAGAAGGATTTTGGCTAACTTCCTCCAAGAACTTGACAATAAAATCATCATGGCCGTACTTCTTTGATACAAAGTTACGTAATTTTGGATTGGTGATTTGTCTTTTGAACATGTTATCGAACAAATAAGCTTCCCAAAGACTGAAGAGTGTTGGCTGAGTTAAGTCCTGGTCAAATCTGTAATTCCAAGATTTGAGTTGATCGATCCACTCTTTTATTTGAGGAAGTCTTGATTTATCCTCAATATATTTTTCGAGATTTCCATCTTGCTCAACTATTTTTAAGAGTAATGGAGTTTTGAGCTTAGCAAAGATATCAACTGTATCGTTCAGCATTGTCTTCATGTCATTAATATCAACCTTCTTTCTCTGAACGTGGATTAAATCATGAAGCATCTCATTGATTCTGGCTGCTCTTGCAGTTGAGGGGTTTGTAGATCCAATTCCAGATTCAGTATTTAACGAAGTAATTCTTCCATTTGCTGCAAACACGTATCCCTTTTTAGGATTGATCATCACTGGGTACTTAGAGAAGTCCTCAAATCCTTGCCATTCGTACTTTCCTGTCCATCCTGGTTTGATTCCTTTCTCTCCAGCGAATTTGTCCATTCTTTTAGGGTATCTGACATGAGGAACGAATGCAATGTTTCCTGAGCTATCAGCTCCACATAGTCCGAAACTACCTCCATTTTTATTCTTCAGAGACTTCAAAACTTGGTTCATATCTTTAAATTTCAAGATGTCGATAAATTCATCAATGAAATGATTCTCGTACTGGTATCCTGACCATGAGATTGACACTGGATCCTTTGTTTTAGCATGAAGGAATGCACTATCAACTGATCCAACTACTGATCCAGCATGATCAAGGACAGGCCCATGATGAGTAGATCTTACCAAGATTGTGATTGGATCTTTACCCTTGATGTTAATCACTTCTTCCCTGACTTCGAGAGGCTCCCACTTGCCTTTAAATAAGTATTTGTCACCCTTTATCTTTTCTTCAAAGTAATCGACGTTGTCAGCATTCAAAGTTGTGACTCCAAAAGCGATGTTTTTTGTCCTGGCTGATACAAAAATAGGAACTCCTGGTAAAAGGGCTCCAATTGCGTATTCATCATTGACATTCAACTCGGCAAGGTAGAAATGGGATGGGATAGATGGATCCAAGTGAGGATCATTCACAAGAAGAGGCTTTCCATTCTTAGTATGCTCTCCACTAATTGCCCAGCAGTTAGAAGCTCCTGTACCTGTAGAGTAGATCTTTCTAATTTCTTCTACTAGATCAAGTTCACCTTGGAGGTTATCTTCAATAAATTCAAATAATTTCCTCTTCTCACTTCTTGCTTTCTCTTTAATAGCATTTTTCTTATACAGTTTGAACTCTTTAAGTTCCTCGTCAGTAAAGACTGGAGTTGAGATTTCAGATTCCTTATCTGGGTGCATTGGCAAAAGCTCTTCTATCAAATCTTCATCCTGAAGTTTAGAGAAATAGTAATCTCTTGTAACCTCATTAGATTCACTAAGGAAGAAAGACATGAAAGTATAGATACTAATTGAATCCTCTGGTTTCCACTTATCAAACTTTGTTCCGAGTACCCAGTATTCAATACCTTCTGAGAAATAGTGCGGGTAGTCATTGATCCCATCACTAAAGTCTTGCAAATATCCTTTAGTCTTGTTATCCATGTTCATGTAGATCATTTTTGCAAAATGTTCAAATCCGTAATTTCTCATGGCTTTATCGACATTGACAGCTGGTTCACCAAGGATTTCGCTCAGCCTTCCTTGTGCAAGTCTTCTCAGCTTGTCCATTTGGAAAATTCTATCACTTGACATAGCAAATCCAAGAGTGTAGAAGCTCATATCCAAAGAGTCCGCGTGAACATGAGGGATTCCGTCCAGAAGCCTATAGGCAGTTCCATTCCCTGAGCTCCTATTGACATGGATAACACCATGGAGTCCTGGCAAGTTCTGGGTGATAAAAATTACGAGGTATCCTATCCCCAAACAAACCAAAAACAGTTGGGCGTAAAGCAAAGTTTTAAGCATGCTCTTTTTTAAATTTATTATTAGTATTCAAACACGTAATTTTAGCTGGGGTTTTGGGGTTTTGGGGTTTTGGGGTTTTGGGGTTTTGGGGTTTTGGGGTTTTGGGGTTTTGGGG